TCTCAGTGCTGTGCTTTAACCCGCTGCGCCACTAGGAGGGCCCGGGGTCCAAGTTTTAATTATGTTGTAAGGAGAGATATAGGTCTGAATGAAACATAAGACCTGAGATGAAACTGACAATAGAGCTTTGAATTGACATGTCATTAAAATAGCCTATTTTTCATTGGGAAATAGGGTTCAATAAAGAATAGATGATAACAGATACTGGGGAAATAAAATGATTTTTTTTATAGATGAATGAATTAAATGTTCTCCATTGAACCAGTTGCAATTATGAGGCAAGTAAAGGGAATATGAGCTCTTCCCCCATGCCCTCCAGCTTTTACCTGCTTTGACAATTTAGCAATACAACTGCTAAATCAGTGGCATGGAAGTCCCCAGGCAACCCCTTCCTTCTCCCATCTTTCCCCACTGTGACATCTCATACTTGCTCATGCAAGTTTTTGTATGTTTGTGATGTTCTTTTTTTCAACACAGAAACTTTCTTTCTGTATATATCAGGCAACTCTCCACAGATACTTCCATTCTCACTTGAGTTAAAACCAAAGAGACCATTTATTTATAATGTCTTCAGACATTCAGTTCTATGAAACCATCTTCCCCTGCTCCATGTCCTTGAAACCAATTCTCTTTCCTGGATTCACAGTTCCTTCTATTGTACATACTTCCTATGTGATTAATTCCTTCTATTGTACATATGTCCTACATACTGCACTTAAGTATGTATTTGTGCTTCTGTCCCTCCCTCTAGACAAGCCAAGAAAGGAAGAGAGAGATCGTATCTGACTCATGGACACCACAGTGTGTGGCACATAAGTTTTCATAGGTATTAATAGGGATGAATGAAAGAGAGCGGGGTGGGATAATTAAAAGGGGAAATTTCAGTACTTGAACTGATGAGTCTGCACAGTTTAAGAGAAGGCTCTGCATTATTCTTCTCTTACCCTTCCAGGGAGATGGCTCTTTGGAGAGTCACCGAAGGCTGGCGGGTTGCAGTACTGTGTTGGGAATGACTGCAAGAAAGAAAAACCAAACACAGACCATTTATTTACAAAGTCTTTACATTCTAATAAGGGTTATTGTCAAGAAAAGAACCAGTCTTGATAGAATTACAATATGCCTTAATTTTTCTTCAGCAATAAGTAGGATCACACTAACATACATCACTCCACTGATAAGGGGCTAATATATATGTATCTTTAAAATTTTGTTTATTTATGCATAGAAGAACTGGGGTATAGGCCAGATGAGCAGGAGTGGGGCTGAGAGGATTCACCAGAGACAGAGTGAGGATTAGAACAGGTGGATTTATGAAATACACTGCTGAGGGGAGGAGTGGGTGAGACAGGAGAGGTCTGCTGTGCCATGTGGGTCAGCTCCCTGGCCTGGGATGGAACTCAGGCTGCAGGGGTGACAGCTTGATAGAGATGAGACTTAACCACAGAGGGCCATTAGTTTGATTCTGACATGTATTATTCACAATTAAGTTTTAAGTGACAAGCATATACAAGAAGCAGCAAACATTTAGAAAAAGTATTTTCTCCCTTAGAATAAGACAGCACAAAGTCTAAGAACATAAATATCATTATGATACAGTGCATTTGTTTTAAATGCAAACTTTTTTCCCCTAATTTTAGTAGAGACAATTTGGAATATTGGGCTAATATCTAATTAGTATAAATTTGTTTCTTATTTCAAATTTGCAACACTGCCTTATCAAATTAATCAATAACAATTCACCAAAGAAATAAGAAATGGGACTTCCAGTTGCACATCAACCTTAGAATTTAATGCCATCCCAAATTTTGTTATGTTTGCCTAGTGAGAAAAGACTTATTTTATAGGTAAATGGTTGTAAAAATGACATCTAACATTTATTGAGTACTTAGATGCCTCAGTCACAATTTTTATTTCTTACAATTCCATGATGTATGAACTGTTGTATTTAACAGATGATCAAATTAAAGTACAACAAGGATGGAAAACTTGCTCAAACTCCTGGTGTAAATAATTGTACTTGAAATGGCATCTAGATTATCTGATTTTAGGGCCCTTATCCTGAACAGCATGGCAAACCAATGCTACCTTGTTAAAAAACAAAAACACAACAATTTAA